TGTAGGATCTCTGTCCTTAATCTGCTGTACATTGTGATTTAACACTATAACGACTACTCAAACAGTATTTTTCACTTTATGTTTCTGTGTGGGTGCAAACTGTTGAAATCTTTACTTAATGTATGCTAAACTGATCTTCTGTATATAAAGAGAATTGAAAATGAATCTTGATGTGAATGGAAGGGGAGAGGGAATGGGAAAGGGTGGTAGGGAAGTTATGGGGGGGAAGCCATTGTAATTCATAAGCTGTACTTTGGAAATTTATATTCATTAAATAAAAGTTAAAAAATTAAAATAAGTCACACTCATACTATCCCAATATATATACCTATCAAAATTAATTTCCAAACTGTTTCAGTATGTATAGCATATATAATGTGAAATGTATTTTACAAAGTGAAGTCATGGTTTATGTCCTATAAAAACATTTGCTTTTAGTACAAACTTTGCAAATATGAAATAATGGTTAATGGTGTAAAGTGTAAATACTAAACTGCTTCTCCTCTACTGTGTTCCTTGGAGCAGTAGCATCTGGTCTGCTATCCAAGGATTTACAGGGGAAAAGAAAGTAGTCTTTATAAAAAATATATGAGAAACACTATTTGTAAAATTTGCTGGGGCTGGCAATGGGACACAGCAGGTAAAGCTACTGCTTGGAATACCTGCATATTATATCAAAATTGATCACTGGGACTAGTGAGATGGCATTGGTACATGCCACCTTGATGGGGTTGAATTGGAATCCCCTGGTATGTTTCTAACTCTACCGTTTGAGGTAAGTCAGCTTGAGCATGTCCCGAATTGCACATCTCTTCCCTCTCTTATTCCCACTCTTATATTTAACAGCGATCATTTTTCAGTTAAGTTTCAGCACTTAAGAAGAATTGTGTATTGATTACAGTATTCAACCAAAGGTATTAAGTAGAACAAACAAAAAAATACTAAGAGGGATAACATATTAAGTTGCTCATCAACAGTCAGGGTGAGGGCTGATCAAGTCACCGTTTCTCATAGTGTTCATTTCACTTTAACAGGTTTCCTTTTTGGTGCTCAGTTAGTTGTCACCCATCAGGGAGAACAAGTGGTATTTGTCCCTTTGGGATTGGCTTATTTCACTCAGCATAATGTTTTCCAAATTCCTAACAGGGATCACTTTTCAGTTAAAATTTAAACACCTAAGAATAATTGTGTGTTAATTACAGAGTTCAACCAATGGTACTAAAACAAAAAAAATACTAAAATGGATAAAGTATTACATTGTACATCAACCGTCAGGACAAGAGCTGATCAAGTGCCTGGTTTGAGTCCTGGTTGTGTTGCATCTGATTCAGCTTCCTGCTAATGCACATCCTGGGAGGCAGCAGGTGATGGTTCAAGCACTTGAGTTCCTGCCACCCACCTGGGAGATCACAATGGAGCTGTAGACTCCTAGTTTTATCCTGGCCAAAGTCCGGTTGTTGTGAGCATCTGGGGAGTGAACCAATAGACAGAAGCTATCTTTTCCAATTTTCAAATAAATAAAAATAAACATGTAAAAATGAAAAGATCTTCTTCAAAATTTTATTTACTGCATAATTGCTCATTTTTAATATGTTAATATGTATGACTGCATTTTAAGCAGGAGTGGTAATTATAAGTTTTCCAATGCTTATTTAATGATAGTATTCTTTTTCATGATTTCTCTTGTTATTTTATAATATATTAGTATACAAATTATTTATCATAGCTCTATATTAGATTATATACCTATTTGATCATTATTATATAGTATATTCCCAAATCTCTATTGATGCCTTGTGAGATACTAGTAAATTTTACAGCATACTGTAGGACCCATTGAGTTAAAATGCTCCTACATATCATTTAGTTTCTGATGAACAGCAACCTGTCCCAAGACTTGCTCAGAATTCTGTGGACGAACAGTATGGATGTCTGTAAGGCTCCATGTAGTGTCAGCTGGATCCACTGACATGTCAGACACCTGCAGGGTCAAGAGGTTAGTACAGACTTGTTCACATGGCAGCAGGACATAAAGAGAGAGAACAGAAGCCAGAAGTTCTCTTGACATCTACACATGGAACTTATGTGTCATCGATGCTTCATTCTATTGGTCAAATCAATTCACAAAGACAGGTGATATTCAAGGGGTGGAAAAATGGCTTTCACTTTTTTGTGGGAGATGCTGCAAAGAATTTGTGAGTCCCAGAAAGATGTGATACTTCTTGTCAAACATCCATGTGGTTTTCAGATCTTTGCAAATAAATATAATGTAGTGAGAAGCCATCTTCCACAAGGGGTCTTCACAAACTTCAAGTCAAATGTGTATTATTTTATACCAAAATAAATTCATCTTTTAATTCCATTTTCCTATGAACCTTTTAGTGTACCTTGGTATAAGAAACTCTATGTGTACTAGTTAGTGATTTCTTTAGGAAAAATTCCTATAATTAATACAAGAGCTATGGATATATTTAAGGATTTTAATATATATTGCCGAATTTTGTAAAACTATTGTAGCAACTCTTGCACCAGAAATACATATCCCATAACTTTTTATTCTGTCAGCTTATGTGGTCTTTTTTTTTACTTTAATATTAACCTTAGAGCCTGTGAGAGAGGACCATACTTATAGGTGAAGCAGTTTTGTGAGAACAAGGTCCTTTGGAATTCTCAGTAGCTAGGCCTCTTTGAAGAGGACTTTTATGCTAAATCCAACCAAGTGTAGACGAAGTACTATTGTAAAATTCTGTTGTTTTTTGGAGTCCTTGGAAGAGGAAAATTCCATGGCTAATTTTCTGTAGTGTGAATAATTTATAATGCAATTCTAATCTAATCAAATGTATTTTCTTTGTAGAAACCAATGAACAAAAACCACGAGTTACAGAGGAAGGTTATTTATAATATTTAAAATATTTTTCCTGGGTAAGGAGATAAAAAGATGTGGTGGTACTATGCTTATCACAAGCAAATTTGAATAACTTTCTAAAAGGATTTTTTGCACTCAAGCCCACACTCTTCTTGGTCCTATCAGATGGTTTGGGGGCACTCTTGGGTAAAACACAGTAACATTTAGATACTTGTATAGCCTAAGAATCTGATTAGTATTCTAAAGAGACAGGCAATATTATCAAAAAAATTATGTTTTTATTTGCATATCCTTCACTTTGGAAACTCTGAAGGTTCTAAAACTTCTTCTAGTTCTTCATGGTAAGGTTCTGATATTAAGTTTCCAGAATAGTCCTGGGAGAAACCCTGAGAACGTTGAGAACTTAATGTCATGCTCCTACAATGAAAGTGCACCAGGGCATCACCCAGAGGTACAGTCTCCCAATTTAAAGACAACTCAATGCAAATATTAATGTCTTGCTTCCTCCTCTTGCTCCCCATTTATTCATGATTGTTTAGTAGTCTTATTTTATTTCTCTGGCAATGGATATATCTGCACCTTCTTTGGGATGTTGTGGGTATGATTACATACATGTATGAGACAGATGTATGATTACATATATGGCTGTATGTGGCTATGAAGATTTAATATCCAGAATTATTGAGATATAGACAGTGGCTGACAAAGTTCAAATAGAATCACAACACAAAGCAGATTCTAGGACACTCCACCATGGAAGCTATACTTCCAAAGGTGTCACCTTTGGATGGGCGTGCATTCAGCTTGGTCAAGCCTGCTGACAAGAGTGCCTATGCAGAGGGAAAACAACTTGGTGGAGACAGACATGAAGAAAGCATAGGGTCTGACACCATAAATAAGAGTGTCAATTGTTAAATCAACAACAGGAGTCACTGTGCACTTACTCCCCATGTAGGATCTCTGTCCTTAATGTATTACACTATGTGAATTAACGGCATAACTAGAACTCAAACAGTACTTTATACTTTGTGTTTCTGTGTGGGTGCAAACTGTTGAAATCTTTACTTAGTATATACTAAATTGATCTTCTGTGTATAAAGATAACTGAAAATGAATCTTAATGTGAATGGGATGGGAGAGGGAGCAGCAGATGGGATGGTTGTGGGTGGGAGGGAGGTTATGGGGGGAAAAAGCCACTATAATCCAAAAGCTGTACTTTGGAAATTTATAATTATTAAATAAAAGTTAAAAAAATAAGATTAGAAACTTAAAAAAAGAAACATAGGGTCACTCTGGGGGAACAAAACTTAGAACAAGAAAGTTGAGATTTGCAGTACTGAATGAATTTTTAGGCTAATCTCTGAAGAAAGGAAATTTCAATGCATGGGAGAATATTAAGGAGGCATTGTTCTACCCCTGTACTCCAGAGAACACTAGCTTTCAATAAAGTTGTCATTGGATTTTTCAAGGGTCAGCAGACCCTGGGATTTTTCATGGTGTTCGAGAACAGGCCCACCAGGGATGCTCTCCTACCGTCTGCTACCCATGCAGAGAAGAACCACATGTGCTGGTGAATGGCAGAAAACCCCTTAATAAAATATGACAATGCTAATGACAGTTGGGAAACAGACCTATGGTACCATGTCATTGTCACTCTGTTTTGAAATGACATTCAGCTCAACTCTGAGCAACAGCTACCAGCTCATTCCATTTTATTTGCCATCACAATTTTAAGTTCTCAACGTAATTTTGAAGTAGGATTGTAAGTAAAGGTGTCATTGTACATAAAGGAAGAGAGAAGTGTCAAGAAGTAATGAGTTGTAGGTCTTGAATTACTGGCATTTACAAATCCTAAGTATGCAAAGATATAGCTTTCATTATACCATATTTCACTAAATTTAAGACACCATTTGTAAGATGCACTATTGTTTTATGTACCATTAAGAAAGAAAAATCACTGCCAACTAAACTATGATGTGCCATAGTTTGTGAGCTACAGCTCAATTTCAGATGTTAAAATATGAAAAAGTGAATGTCTTGGAATCAATGAAGTGAGGTATTTCTATAAGTGTATTTAACTCTCAAACCCTGTTTAATACTAACAGAAACATTAATCTTGCCAGGTAGAAATAAACTGTCTTTTCTGAATTTAATTTAGTCTCATTTGGGTTAATGCTCAACAAATTCAGAATTATCTTGCAGATAGTTCAGAGGTGAGGGGCTGCTGCCTTAATTTCATAAGAGGGAATACCACAGTCATCTTTTTTTAGGTCACAGCACAAGTATTGGGGGGGGGGGCTGAGATGAAGCCAATCTGCTGTGGACATCAGTAGACACTCCAAGACTTCTATTGTCCTGGCCAATGTATTCTTTGTGCAGCATGACCAGAAGGCCGCGGTGTCTACAGATTTGCCAGCCCTTGTGACCATGACTAAGGAACCTGAGACACATCTACCCATTTTCCTGCCTTACAGTGAGATATAGGACCCGCCTGTTTATATATCACCCTAATCTAGGATCATGATCCAGCTCTGGCTCCATGTTAGACCCATTTCTCTCAAGGGAATCTAGTTTCTCCTGATTATAATTTGGATAGTAAAGCATCAGTGTCTCTTCTCATAAAGACCTCAAACTTTTCAGCATTTCTAGTGCTCCCTTAACACAGAGGGCTTCAACCCTACAGATAAACCAGGTACGTACCCCTTTCTCAGGAACTCACAGAAACCCACTTACTCTTCCCTTTCCTCAGTTTCACTCCTTCCCTCAATCTGACTGACATTCTCTTTATTTCCAAAGGCAGGATAATCTGGCTAAGTAGTAAAAATAACCTACCATTTACGCCACACTCATGGCTTTTCAAGATGTAATAAGGTCCTCCATCCCTCTTAAGTTTAAAATGCTAAGAATTGATTTTGTTGTTGTTGTTGTATATAATCCCTAGCCCTGTACAGAGTGGATTAGGAAAAATGAGGAGAAAGGAACAGGGAAGCCAAGCAGTAGTATAAGAAAAAGAAACATTGGTTAATATGCCAAAATACTATACCACTAAAATAGTAAATCTGTAATACCTAGCCCACATTCTTCCTGAAATACCAGAAAGGGTTATACCACACCACACCTTGACTTCAATTTGCTGGACTGGCAAATTTTACAGAAGATGCAGGGTTAGCAAAGCATTGGACAATGCTTCAAGGAGATGAATCTATCCTAAATATTGGAATTGTAGGGGGCAGCAATGGAGATAAAGTCCAGTGTATTTTAGGAATTATCCAATGTTGTCATCAGCCACATTCTAATACATGCCTTGAGTACCAGTATGCTCCCTTCATGAGAAGATGGAAGAAGTAAGGCCTCAGCCGATAATCCACAGAACTGACTCCACAAAACCCCAAAGGCCATCTCTACTATTGTTAAGAAACCAGTTACTCAGGGTTTTAGATTGTGGAATATTTATGTGAAAAATGTCCCCATTTCTCCACCCTTCCCTTTATCCATGCCTTTATTTTTTATTTATTTATTTATTTATTCTACAGGCAGAGTGGACAGTGAGGGAGAGAGACAGAGAGAAAGGTCTTCCTTTGCCGTTGGTTCACCCTCCAAT